GTGTAGAAGGATTCCTTGCAATGCAGCTTCCCCTGTCCACAGATGCAGAGGTGTTCTGTGGTGCCTCAAACTTTGTGCACTGCTGGAAAGGGAACAGTGCAGGGATGCAGTGGAAACTGCAGTCTTGTATTGGAGAGAACTCCAGTACATGTTTGTTGACAGTGTGGTACATGAGCACTCTGGAATCAAGGGAACTTGAGCCTGGATTACTTCTCTTGAGGCCATGATGCCACATGAACTGTTTTGCCCTGTGTGGGCATGAGAGTTTTGAAGAATTGGGAGGGAGAAAGAATGAAGAGTTCAAGGGAGTTATTATCCCTTCCAGTTCAGCTTAGGGTTTCTCCAAACTCAGTCTGGTGTTCTTTGCCTCTCCCTTGTTCATCCAGTGTATGAATTTTCAATTCCCTCAAAGGTCTCCCCAGCAGCTGCTGCAGCCCAAGACAGTTCCAAAGAGATTGGGACCACCTCAGAGGAAACCACGTGAGCCTCAAGTACCAGGGAGTTTGATAAAGGAGATATTCAGACATTTTGCTAAAATGCCAGTGACCAAAGAGGCATTCAAAATTGTTGAAAAATGGTATGTAGGAACAAATTGCTCTTTCCATTATTTTTAGTGTTGAGGTTTTTTTCCTTTCTTTCCTCTTCTGAAGTAATAAACCTGTTGGGAGTGCTGCTGACAAGCTGACAGCCCTCTCTCTTCAGCTGGAAAGAGTCTTGGGAGGCCATAAAAATGGGCAGAAATGTGCGAAGTGCTTTGGGCTTCTCTGTGAGTATCTGATCAGTGCAGCCTTGCAGGAACATCTGGTTTTTGTTCCAACAAGTTGTAGCAGTCAGAGTCTTGCCATTATCAATTTCCATGGGCAGGATGGCTCTGGACAATGGTCATCATGCAGGGCACAGTGAGGTGTGCAGCATTCCATTGGATTCCAGGTTTCTCAGATTTTTGAATCCTTAGACCTTGTTACCTTCATGAGTAAAAATCTTCTGTATTGTTTGAACAGATGCAGATATCACTGCAGCAGCCAGTATCTGACCCTCCGTGCTGATTTCTCTGTCACTGGTGTCAACTCTGTTCTGCATGGTTGGGAAGTTTAGGAAAGGTTCTGGTTGTCAGATGTGCAGCTGTTTGACAGCTGTCTTGGCAGTGAAGTTCCAGGGAGCCTGGGCTGAGAAGCCAAGCTTTGTTCATGGGCAGGAGAGTTTCTTCTCCCCTAGCTTTCCCTAGCAGGCTGTGACCTGCACAGCTCTTGTGCAGCTTACCCTGCAGAAGTGGGTGAGTAGCTGGTGTTCACATGCTCCACAGTCTGATTTGATTTCCCCCCTCAGCTCTGAGAGATACTTCAAGCAGCTGAGCAGTGATCTGGAAGCTTACACCCACCATGCAGGGAGGAAGACAGTGGAGGCAGCCGACCTGGAAGTCCTCATGAGGAGGTAATGGAAGGGTTGTTACTAATGTGCTGTAGTGTTTGGTGGTGCTTTGATAGCCCAGTAATGCCTGGTTGTTGCCAGAATGTGCACCAGCAGTGTTTGCACAATAAGTGGGGGAAACTGGAAAAGTTTCAAATGTGGTGTTAAAGTCACCTGGGGGATAGTACAAGGCACAGCTGATGACACTGGCTTTGCATGGGCCTCTGTAGGTGAGCTGGTGTTGCTGCTTAAAAAGAATAATCTGTTGCTGTCCTAATGCAGAGATTTCATTTTCCGACCTGACAGGTGTGTGCTGGGGTTGGTAGGAACAGGCCAGGAGGCACGATTGTTTAGTTGTCCTGGTTTGAGAATTCCATGTACTTGTTGTTTCACCCTGTTCCAGATGTCTTTATGCTTTTTTACTGCCTCACAATGAGATCAGGAATTGTTGCTGGCTCATGCATAAGAACAGCATTTCTGTTCCTTCCACATGGAAAGTATGACTAAATGTTGCACTTTCTTTCTTTCTACAAAACTGATGCTGGTTTTTTCAGGCCAGTCAGTTAAATGGTGCACAGGAAAACTCCATGGCCTACACAGCTGGCAAATGCCAATCACTTCTGAGTTGTGACTGTAAAAAAATCTGGGTACTGAGCTATTTCCTTCTGTCACATCAAAGGGCCGAGTTTATTCCGTGGTAGGTGGACTGTGAATTTAAAAAGCAATGAGCCTCTACTTTGGACCTGATCAATATAGATTAATATCCCCATGGTAAACAGTGGAAAGCTCTGTGGGAAGCTGCTCTGCAGGAGCCCCCTGGGTCTGCTCTGCTGTGTGGGCAGTCCTGGCATTGCAGTGTGCACAGGAGCTGAGAAGCTGCCTGCAAACACGAGTCTGGAGCTGTTTGTCACAAGCAGACAGGGCATTTCAGCTCTTAAATGCAAAAACCTCAGTGCAAGAAAACCATACTCTGGTATCGAATGGAAACACATTTCACTAACAACTCTTGTTACTTCTCTGCTCTCTTTTTGGACAAAGGCAAGGGCTGGTGACAGACAAGATGCCGCTGAATGTGCTGATAGAGCGTTACCTCCCTCTGGAGTACCGGAAGCTCCTGATTCCAATTGCAGTGAGTGGAAATAAAGTGATCCCTTTCAAGTGAAGCTGCAGGGATGGCCCCTGGGGGTGGGAAGGTGGCCTGCTCCCAGGGGCTGGCTGTGGGCTGTTCCATGTCACTGCTCCAGGTGTTGCTTTTCCACACCTAACCAGTCAGGCGACAACTGCTGGATGTTCTCTGAGTGGAGGCAGATTGTGCTGTGGCCACCACACCACCCTGCTGGGTCTCACCAGCCTTTGTTACAAGTAATTTGACTATCCATATTTTTGTACATTATCTTTTAATACTTGTACAATTCTGATAAATAAAATGTTACATGTGTTTTGTGTGATGCCAATGCTGCTTATGTCAGTGAGCTGAGAGGCTCCTGCATTGTGCTGTTCAAAATGTTTCTAGCAGGCATTTAGCTGTGTTGGTGCTCTGTGTTTGGCACACCTGTGTGGTTTCTGTGGCTCTGCTCCCAGTGGGAGTCATGGTGTCCCTTTGTTTTCCACTGGTGTTCCTGTACAGGCAGTTGCTGCATGAAGGAGCTGGTCCATGCTGTGCTCCTCACCCAGGGAAACAAAGCAGAACTTCTGTGTGTGACTGTACTGCTTCCAGGGAGCTTAAACAACACTAGGAATGAGATCTGGCACAGCAAAGGGTGCCAAGAAAGAATAATGCCTGTCCCATGTACCAGTTTCAGAGGGATGGAGATGGATATTGAGCTTGCTCTTCAGTGTCCTTCTGGGGAGTCAGTGTGACACAAGTTGTTTTTCCCCATCCTGAGGCTGTCCTAAATCCTGCTGCAAGTATGGATTCTCCTCTCTGGGTTATGCTGTGTGTGCAGTATAGCTTCCTCAAACTACAGCCAAATGGTACAATTCATAGGGAATCCTGGAAATCCAGCCTAGCTCTTGGCAGCAGCACTTGGAAGTTTAACAGGTTTTGCACAACACTAAAGGACATAATGGCCAATAGAGTTAAAATCTCTTCAGCAGCCAATGCCAATCCAAAGAGCAGGCATTTTTCAAGGATTTTATTTTTAAACATAATTCCATTAATACAACAAAGAGCATTTTTTTTCTGATACAGTGTGACTGAACGGTCCTTTGAAAAGCTCTGCTGGGATCAGTAAGTGTCTGCATGTCCTTCATGGATGGGATTTCCCTCTCTAGTGTGTGTCAGAGTTCACATCTCACGAGAAGCTGCAGCTTCCCAAGGGGAGGAATGGGAGGGGACAGTGCTTTGCAGCTGCTGCCTGTCACACTATTGGGCTGCCACTGGATTTGGATGTTCCACGGGAATTCTTCAACTCACTGGAACCTTTTCCTTACACTGGGTGTGTTCCAAACAGTTGATACCTGTTTGGCAGTCTGGAGTCTCAAAGGTTGTAACTTTTTGTATCAAACTGGTCTGTATGGATATCTAAATATATATATTGTAACTGTATATGTAATCTAAATATAACAAGTCTAAATCTGTAACTATATAAACATTCTCTCAAGTAAGGGAAGATCATTCTGTCAAGATCACCTTGTGTCAGACCTGTAACTTCAGCTGCAGAGGAAGAGACTGCAGCTCTTGCCTTAAGTAGGTCTCCAGTTGCTCCGACAATCATGGCTTTGGAATGATGACAAGGGCCTGTTTATTGCTATGGAGACATGGAAAAAGAATGGAAACATGGAATTATGTGTGTCATATACAGAAGAATGAACTCATAAGTCTGCTCAAGGATCTTGTTTTTCTTCCTGCTGGCCGTGGTTTCACGGCAGGAGTTTTGTAGTGTACTGTCAAGGCATAATTGTATTGAAAAACATACATAAATGTAAACAAAGACTGTAGCCAAATGCATCCAACTGACAACCAAAGGAGCCTTTGTGAGCAGCAGCCGGTCAGCCGGGGTCCCTCATCCGTGCGCTCGCAGCCCAGAGCCGCCGGTTGTTCCCGTTGCTGGGGTTTGCCGGAGCCCCCGTGGCTGCGCTCGCTTCCTTCTTCAGTCCCGGGCCCGCCATGGCGCGCGCGCTCCGTTTACCCGTCGCCACGGCAACGGCCACGCCCGCAGGACTCCCCCCACGCGCGCCGCCATAGCTGCCCACGCAGCGCCTGACGCGCGGACGCCGCGCGGCGGCCGAAACCGGCCCGTGAGCGGAGGTTGCCGGCGGGCGCCTGCGAGCGCTGGGCGGCCCTTGGGCTCCGGGCTGCCGCGGTGCACGCTGGGAATGGGAGTCTCGCACCCTACCTCACTGATGGGAGCAGGGCGGAACGGGGACACGATTCCCAGCGTGCAGCGCGCCGAAGGGGGGGACGGGGCTTTGCATGCTCTGCCTCTCGGGAGTTGTAGTCTCGGCGAGAGCCAGGGACGAGCGAGTGGGAGTGACGAGGACTGCGCTTCCCGTCGGGCGGCGCGGCCCCATTGTGGGCACGCTCGCAGCCCATTGGCTGCCGGCCGCGGCCGGGCCTCGCTCCCCGCCCGCTGACACAAAGCGGGTCCAAGATGGCGGAGGCGGGCGCGGGGAGCCCGCACGGCGGGGACGCGGCGCCGCCGGGGCCGCCCGAGGAGCAGGAGCTGAGCCGGCGCCTCCGCCGCCTCTACCCCGCCGTCAACCAGGACGAGACGCCGCTGCCGCGCTCCTGGAGCCCCAAGGACAAGTACAACTACATCGGCCTCTCGCAGGGCAACCTGCGCGTCCACTACAAAGGTGCCGGGCTGGGGCGGCGGCGCCGGGTTCGGCCTCGGCCCGGAGCGGGACGGCCCCGGCGTGGCCCTCGGCCCGGCCGCTCCGCGGGGCCCGCCGGGCGCGGGCTGAGGCGGCAGCGGGTCCGGCGGCCCCGGGGCAGGGGCGCCGTGAGCAGCGCGGGGACGGGCGGCGCCGAGCTCCGGTCGCGGGGCGCTGCTTGGCCCGGGGCCCCGGCTGGGCGGCTCGGGAACGGAGGCGCTGGGGAGCCGGGGGCTCTCCCCGGCGGAGTGTGTGGCCTTATATAACGCTGTGCAGTGTCGCTTGCCCGGGCCCGGTGCGGCCAGACTGGCTGTTTACTCTGTCATCTTGCTTAAAACCCAGCCCAGGGGTCGGATGGCCCCGAAACGCTGCGTAATTGGGGCTTTGGCTCCTCGGGTTTACACTAAATAGTTGCTCGCAGACTTGTAGTGTGATGTTTTCCTTGCTCGCTACTGGAGCTGTTCTCCCTACCCACCCAGCGGAGAGCTGATTATTCCTTTTCCTGCCTGGCTAGTAAACACTGATGTCATTCCTCTCTTGTGTAATCATTTTTGTCTTCTGTCTGTGTACACTGGTCTTCAAATTATGTCTGTGGGGAGGGGGAGAGGTGGTACTGAGAGTCTTTCACAAAAACTCATAGCAAAAACAAAGGGAAAACTGAAATGCTTGTGCTGTAGGAATTGTTCTTGGTGGCAGTGCAGGGTTGTATATGCTGGTTCTCTGGAAAGTGTGTTTTAAATGGCTGGCTCCGTGTAGAAACAGATCCCTCCTGGTTTCAGATAGTGAGGTTTTAGATCAGGATATGTGATAGGCCAGATCCCCTCAGTACTTACATTTCTGTTCTTTCTTAGGTCACGGTAAAAATCACAAAGATGCTGCCTCGGTCAGGGCCACTCACCCCATCCCTGCAGCCTGTGGCATTTATTACTTTGAAGTGAAGATCGTCAGTAAAGGTAGAGATGGGTAAGTGCCTCATTGCAGCTCAGTGGCTGGGGATGTGTCTGGCAGCTCTGCTGGACTCTGGCCTCCTTTCCAGAAGTGTTGGAGGTCCCGTGGCTGCTGGGTGCAGCAGGCAGGTACAGCATGGGCAGGTTTTGTCCTCCTGATGAATGGATGTAAATGAGGTGGAATGCCCTGGAAGCAGAGGCACTGGCACAGCTGTGTCCTGAGCCCTTGGCGATGGGCACTTCTAAAAAATTCAGTAAACTGAGGATCTCTGGTGCAATATGAATTAAAATAGGTTTTCTTCTTGCTAGCAAGGTCTGGTGACTCTGATTTCTGGAATTATGATGCCTCAGAAGTGAAGTGAAGCAGAATGGAGGAAGGTTGAGCTTAATTTTGGACTGCTGCAGTGAGGTTGATGTGGTGAAGAGTACTGGAGCACTGGGGAAAGTAATAAAGGGGCATTTCTAACAAGGTCTGGAGTTCTCTTGTTAACATGGATTTAATTTTTGCTCATTTTGAAGGTGTCAATCTGTTCTGTGTGGATGGCCCTGGCATTATTCATTGTTAAAGGATGAATATGGCAGGAATATTATCTGGAGGGGAAAGCCACACCAGGAGGAGGGTTTGGGTGCAATTAATTAATCCAGTCCTTCAAGTGTGATATTTGATCTCTGACCAGTTTAAGGGTTGTGGGGAAGGGCAGCAGATGTTCCTACTAAAAACCAAATGAAAGTGAAAACTTGTTATAGTTGAATTTTTTTGCTGTCATTGTTGAATTGAGAAGTGGCCTACTTGTAAAGGGACTTGTGAAGGATCTCAGGTTGTGCTGCATTTAGGCCCTTGATAATTACTAGGTTATCTGCAAAGGTGGATGCTGGGCTGAATTCCTTATAAATGCAGGGAAAAGACCATCCTTATTCCTTCGTTTCACTGACCTGGCTGTTAACTGCTTGTCTGTTTTGAAACACTGCCCTTGATTAGTTTATGTAACTGCTAAAACTGAAATAATTTGCAGTGAGCTTCAAGACAATTTTCCAAAGAAATCACATTACAAAAGGTCACTGAACAGCACTTAATCCTTACTGCAGTCTAGATCAACCTTAAAGGGAGATAATGGAATTTTCTGCTTGTCTCCCAAGATCAGAGTTTTCTGTATTAATGATCTGTTGTTTTTATTGTATTCTGTAATTACAGTGACTTTCCAAGAATAATTCCAAAGAGACAACCATGTGTGTTAACACAACAACCTGAACAGGAGCTGCTGATAGCTCTGGTCTGAGGTCAGGGCAGTGCCGAGGCTTTGAGAGCTTCTCTGATGTCTCAGCCATTCTTGTGCCTTGTTTTTCTTTTGCTGGTAGAGAGAGATCCAAGTTTTATCTCGCACAGGGTGGTGCTGGGGATTTGTGGTTGTGAATTTCCACTGTAGCTGCTGCCTAGCTGTCACTTGAGAAGGTGCTTTTGTGTATCTCACCTTTAATAGTTTGAATTGTTCCTGCTGGAGGCTCAGTGTGTTGTACTAGTGAACTGTGGCAGAGATTTCTTCTGAGGAGGCTCCACAATGTTTATTCCATCATGGTGACTTCATTTTAAAGGATTGAAGGTCCAGTCATTTGAAGAAGGGATTGAGGGAATGAAGTTTTCAAGCAGTGTAAGTGGCAAAGCCTGTCCTTAGGAATAACACTGGAAGGAAGCCCTTTAGCAAGGGGAGAGGAAGAGGTTTTCAGAATGGGTATTTCAGCCTTTGCCCTAGAGCTGGTTTGTCTTCTGTATGAGGTAGTGAGGAAATGATGTGAAGTTATTCCCTGTGTATCTCTTTCTGGAGTTTGTGATGGCATTTCACATTTAGGTATAAAATGTGAGTGATTTGCTTTTGAAACAAGACTTGCTCAAGAAAGGCTTTTGTGAACTGAATTTCAGGAAGTGTTGAGGAGTCTGATTTTGCTCAAAACTGTTGTTTTTCTGTGCTCAGCATTGTTAGTTTAGGGTTCTGCACTCTGGTTAGATACTGACACTTGCTAATAAACAACAGAATCTAAGGTTTTAGATAAGAAGTGGGATAGAAGCTCCCCGTGGCTCTTAATAGAGAAGTAAGAATCCCAAAGTTCACAAGATGCTTTTTGCAGCCTGCCAAGGGATGTTGCCTGTGTGTGACATGCTCTGATAAGAGGCTTCTTGAATTGGCATCAGACAGTGCCATTTTAGATTGGTGATGTCACTGTGGGAAAGAAACCTGAGCTGTGGAGATGACTCAGGTGTCAGGACCACCATTTTAACTTCTTCCCTGTTTTTCATTGGACTAAGGGGATTTAAAACCAGTATGCTGTGGTTCTCTCCTGTTTTCTCCCACCAGATCACATCCTAGCAGTCAAAACACACATCCCTGCCTCCCCCTGTTTTCCAGGCTGAGAACTCCTGTGCTCACCCCAGAGCTAGCACAGGGGAAGAGGGAGGGAGAGACTGCAGCAGCACAGGCACAAGTTACTTTGCCCTGCCACAGTTGGTAGAAAAATTTCCTCTTTTGCACTGCCAGATTTCTAGGTAACATGGAACAAATCAGATGTGTCAGTCTTTTGATATGTTGAGGGGGGAGGTGTTCTTACCCTCATAAGAGAGGAGAATTTAATTTGCAGTCTCTTGTCCCAGCCCCCTTGTCAACTCCTTGTCTGTGCTGAGCACACAGGGAGTGGTTCCACAGCACTTTAGGATGATATATGTCAGTGCTGTGGGATTCTGCCCTTGCATTTGCTGTATGCCTCTACTCCTTCCCTCACGCAGACAGGCTGTTACCCTGTCCTGTGATGAGCTGGTTCAGGGAGATAACTGGTGGAAAGCTGGCCAAAAAGTAATGGATGATGATTTCATCTACTGACGTCACTTTCAGAAATTGCTCCTTTTTTTTTTTCTCATTAAGTTGAGGACACTTTTCAGGGTTCCCTTTATTAATTGAAGGCAAGTCAACAAAGGGATGGCTCAAGCTGAGAGATGAAAGGGTAGGATTGCAGCAATCCTCAATTCCATTCAAAGTTTTCTTGAACAGTTTTGTTTTAAGACTTGCTGGTAGCTAATTCCTGAGACGTGTGCTTGTCACCTGAGTGTTGTCAACTGGAACAAAAGGACAAGAGGCAATGGGTCACAAGTTGTGGCAAAGGAAATGCCAGCTGGACATAAGAAAGAATTTTCCTTTGTGAAAATGGTTGTGCACCTAAACAGGATGCCTGGAAAGGCACTGGCATCTCCCTCATCAAATCTGCCTGAGGGAGCCCTCAGTCTGCTGACTGATAGAAGTTTCAGAGTTACTTATGCTTTGGGCAGAAGGATGAAGAAGGAATGTCCCAAGGTCCCTTCCTGTCCAAACCTCTCCATGAATCTGTGAATGGCCTTCTTCCAGCACTCCTCTGATGAGCAGATTGGCAGAAATGCCTGTGACTCCTCTGTTCCTGAGCTGCCACAAATAGCTCAGGCTTTATCCCAGTACTGTTCGTAACAGTTCAACCTTCGCTGTATTTGCAGCACTGAACTCTTGTCCTCTCTCCCTCCAATACATGGTTCTGTTTGGTGCTGATTTGTCAGCACATCTCACAGCCTCTCTTTCCCCACTACACGATCTCTGCTTGGTAAACAGGAACAGGGAGAGACTCATCAGGGTAGGGCAGCCAACCCACAGCTCAGAGGCTGTTGTGACTCAGAAGGATAAGTCATCCTTGTTGTCCTCTTTATGCTGGGGCAAGGTGAGCTGTCTGGGGGTGACACTGCATGTTCCTGACCACCAGTTTGGTTTCTTGACTGGTTTTACCTCCCCCAGCCACGTGCTGGGTTGTGATGGAGTGTGACTGGGGAGGACATTTCAGAGGCCAACCCTGATGATGCATGGGTTCTGAATTCTGGCAGAAGTCACCTGTCTTGCCGCCTCCTCTCCATTTCTGAGCTGCTGGAACAGACAGCCCAGCAGCCTGTGGATTGCTGTCTTTCTGGGAATGGTTTGGTCTTGGACAGCTGCTTACTCAAGGATACTTTGCTGTGCTGGCATCCTCACCTCTCTGGTGGGGACAGAGGCGCTGTCTTCCCATAGTGACTCTGTGCAAGCACAGCAGGTGTGTTCTGTGGGCAGAGGAGGTGCCAGGGGGCCCAGCCCTCTATACCAGGGCAGCCCAGTGGTTTCATGAGGACTTTGAGCCATCCCAGAAAGCATCTCAGTCTGGCTTTTCTTTTTGCCAAGATGTGTTTTTGTGTGCCACCACTAGTGACTGTGTTGTGAGCTCGATTGTGCTCACAGCCTTTTTGCTGGATCGGTACTTGAAACAGTGAGTTCTGCATTAGGTGGAGACCCAGAAAGGCAGGAGAGGGAAGCTGGAAAGACATAAACCACAGGGAATGCTGGTATCCTTCTTTCAGCACCATTCCACAGTTGCTTTGAGCTGTGCAGCCTGTTGTCCAGAGATGTTGGTCAGCACTAGTTTAGGTTGAGGAGAGTTTTCTGAGAGAGGGAGGAAAGAGTTCTTTGAAGAGAGTGGCTGAAGAGCTAATCAAGCTTAGTCCATACCATAGTTTATTTAAAATTTTCCTTTAGCTTTCATACACAAGTGCACCATAAGCCAGACTTAAAAATAGCTTAGTTTCTCTCTGACTGAAAAAGAAAAATAAAGGTCAGATGTGTTGGTTGGTTGCGGTCTGTACATTAGTAACAAATCATCTGCCCCTTTTCCTTGCTTATGTTTCTCCTTGCCAACTTTCCATTTCTCCTCAGCATATGGTGAGTGTGATGGCTCTGTGAAAAGCCTTTTGCTCGTGTTCTCTAATGGGTTCCAGATGCTGACAGAGGCCTGTCCATGCAGAGTTCTGACAGCATTGTCTGCTTATGCTCAGACATTTTGGAGTGCCCTGCCTGTCTGGATAAAGGATATTCTGTAAGAACTGGGGATTTTTTGTGTGATCTCTGTTTTGTCACTGGTAAGCCTGTAAATAATTGTTTTCCTCCCCCCCTTTTTATATTTTTCCATCCTGGTTTCCAAGAATCCAAA